TATGAACACAGAACTGTTGAATTCTAAAAGCAATACACTCCAAGATGTTGTTTACTCAAAGCAGAAATGCAAAGGAAGGAAAACGGGCTGCTTTTTAAAGAAGTCTCAATAGGACCCTCAACGAAGGTTTAAGCAAAAGGAAATTAGCACATGCCGACAAAAGGGAAACACAAGACTGGAAAGTGCAGAGACGAGCTGTCTGCAGAGGACAAATGATTGTAAAATAAAATAGGCTCGTCTGAAAACCCTAAAACTTCAGCTGGCACAAGACGGAGCTGGACACCTGAGTTTATCTGTCTTGTAAAAACAGGCTGCCCCGTGGGTGGGAAGTGAAATGGGATAGTCAAAAATAGAATAATAATGTTTGGGAGTATTAGTAGCTTGAACATAATTAGTTAAAGTTAAAAAACATACCAACAAATAGGTCATTCTACTGCAACAATGTGTGGAGAACCTTGAGAAAGACAGTTTGAAAATTATCCATCCATCCATACATTTTCTTCCGCTTCATCCGTTGCCAGGTCACGGAGGCAGTTTGCAAAGTTGTCCATTATAAATTCGGGGTACACCGTCCAAATGCCAGCTTTGAACTGGGAGTTATTCCAGGTTTGTCAGATTGATTGTAATGTGGATGTACGTTGACACTTGCTGACTACAGTGTTGGGTTATTACAAAAAACAAATAAAATGTCATAATTTGGAAATAATTGGTTCTCTTCCTACCATTAGATCAAAAACTGTTTTTTTCTTCTGAGATGCACTTTTAACTTTTACGTACTTGAGTACTTTTGCAGGATGTACTATTACTTTAAGAGTATGTATATTCCAAATTATTTCACAGAAATTTATATTGTTTTTTGCAGGTTTCCAGGTGTCCAATTGTTCAAGATTGATTGCACTTTGGGTTGCATTCTGTGTGAACTCTGCCATAGAATTACAAGTTGATTGATTGAATTATGAACACACCCAAGAACTTTAAATCAACTTTCTTTGTATTTAATTCACAATACCACAAAATGTACTAGTACTGTGTCTGCGATGCACACTTTATATAATCTCTTGCCCATAACCAGCCTTGTGCAACAGTGGACCAACAGTTTGTGTAATTGGGACACTCCTCATAAGGAAACATTTGTAAAAGGTTGGGTTCAGGTTAAAGCCGTCTGCAGTTTAAACCCGCACTCAGCACATACATGTTCTGTAAGTCACTGTGAGTCACTGTAAGTCACTGTAAGTCACTGTAAGTCACGGCTGAAACAAGAGAAGACAAAAACAACACACACACTGGGGGCTGAGAGAGAGAGGGAGAGAGGGGAGAGAGGAGAGAGAGGGGGAGAGGAGAGAGAGAGAGGGGGGGGGGAGGTCTGTACCAGAGGTGGAAAGTAAATACTTCAAGGTAATAGCGGTAACATGTGCACTCCGACTGGGCTTGGAACCAAAACACGAAAAGCTTTAATGCCTGAGGGCTGGGTTTTGATGAAAGGAACCTAATTGTGAAGAAAAAAAGTTCAGCTTTTTATGTTTTTTTATGGCCGTAGTAAGCGGTGGGAGAGAAGTTTGTTTGGAGCATGTTTTGCAGAATGGACGACTTTAAAATAAACCAATTGTCTTTAAAAAAAAATTGGGGTTTTTAGGAATATTTAAAACATGATTCTCATTTATCATTGTAGAAAAAAAGCACCAAAAATACTATTCAGAAACCATAACTGAAATCTTGTATTGGGTAAGTCTTTGGTAGGGCGGAACAAAAAGACAGTCGGTGTGTCTATTTGCTACACTTAGTTTCTAGCATTCAAAACTAAGGAATCGCTAATATCCTAATGAAATTAATGATATTTTGCATTTCTTTCTTATTAAAAAGGGCTCTAATGATTGGCTGGAGAGTGCACATGTTCTTGTAAAATGTAGACTGTAAAAACCTAATTCCAAGTTGTTTATATACAGTAAATGTAACTGTGAGAACAAAGAGCTTCATTGTGGCTCGCTTCCTGTTTTTTTCTGTTTTTTTTTTTATCTATCTGATGATTGCGCTGATGTCACGTTCTTGTAACTAGATCTTGTTGTGGATACGAGAGCGCAATAGCAAATTATATCCAATATTTCATTGTTGCGGTGGTTATGGGGGGTGGACTGGCTGAACAATAACTGCATATGTGTGTGTATGTGCGTGTGTGTGTGGGTGTGTGTGTTTGAGTGGGTGCGACTGATCTCTTTTGGGTGTGAGGAAGCACAAAGCCACACTTCAGCTGCTCTGTCTGCACTTCCTGTTTATGTCCTCGGAGCTGATGTCTATAACATCCAAACACATATCATGTACAATCGTCTATTTTAAGTTTATAATCATGTTGTTTTTATACCATCCACGCTAATATCAGCCACCTTTTCCAAACTGGTTAAGTGTACGCTAAGTGCTGTCATTACTAATGTTAGCTACTTTTAGAATTATGTATGACTTTGTTTTGTTTGTATGGATGGATATATTTCTGCTGCTACTGTTTATCTATATGTCCATCTAGCTGTCTATCTATAATACATGCAAATATCATGAACAAAGCCATTTTCTTCCTGTTAAAGCGAATGTCAATTACTAGAGAGAGGAAAACTTTTTTGAAGATGCTAGACCCGCCCACTCTCACCTCCGCAGCTTTTTGATTGGTCCAAATGAATTCAAGTCCTTGAGGCCCTTCATTGGTTTAACTATTCTCCTCCAGCAAATCTTGGTCGTAGTCAAGCAAAAGGGAGAGACTATCTTAAATGAAGGATTGTGTCTTGAGTGTTAAGTCTTTGTTGTTGATATTTTTTGTGTGCGTAGTTTTTGTTCTTATTATGTTGTTTTTATGTTCAAATAAAACTTTCATTCATTGTCCCATGGTCATCTTTTACAGATACAATACTTTGTGGTATTGACAATTTATGTTCTTTACAACTGCATTGAAAGATTTTGATCTAAATATAGCTGCATATAATTTCCCATTTCTTCACCTGGTGTGAGTATGGATCGTTCTAGTCATCTTCTACTCCATTCATACATATATTCTCTACCTTTCTACTTACTTTGTGTTTGAGAGGCCACAGTTATAACACCATTCATCAATTCTATATGTTCTTTAAAAGAGAAGTTATGTTTGTGATTGTTAAACATGAGAAATCAAATATAAATGAAATCACAAAATGTAAAATGCATGAAGTACAGAAGCAGCCACTGTTTTGTTTGTACAGTGCATACATAAAACATGTCCCAAAGGCTGCAAATCTGCTGACTCAAATTATGTAACTGTAACAATGCATTCAAGGTCAAACAGTTAAAGTTGTTTTTTTTTATTATTCTAGGGCTAGAGATTTTATGCCTGTTTCTTTATTATACTAAAGTTAGAGATTTTATACTTGCTTCCTTAATGTGCTAAAGATTGAGATTTTATACTTGCTACTATAACATGCTAAAGTTAGAAATTTTATTTGTGTGTGCTCCTCATTCCTACTGTTCTGTAGCTGGTGATGCAACACTGAGATTTCCCCACAGTGGGATGTACACAGCACATCACCCCCGTGCTGGCCTCACTTCACTGGCTCCTTGTTACTTTCAGGGTTGATTTTAAGATTCTGATGCATGTTTTTAAATGTTTAAATGGTTTGGCCCCTGTATATCTGTCGGAGCTGTTATCTCTGTATGCTCCTGTCAGATCAGTGAGGTCAGAAAACCAGCTTTTGCTGAACGCGCCCCGGTCTCGTCTCAAAACCCGGGGAGACCGTGCCTTTTCTGTTACTGCCCCCAAACTGTGGAACAGTCTACCTTTGTTCATTAGAGCAGCTCCTTCATTGGAAGTTTTTAAGTCTAGTCTAAAGACGCATTTTTACGCCTTGGCTTTTGACACCAATTGAGTTTTACTATTTTACATGTACATGTACTGTATGTGTATGTATTTCATGCTGTTTTCTTTTATTTTTTTATCTTTCGTGCTGGTGAAGCACTTTGGGCAGCTGGCGTTGTTGTAAATGTACTATACAAATAAAGTTGACATTGACTTATTTTTTTAGATGTGTTGTATGTGTGTGTCAGTGTTATTAAGGGAAATATTTCAAATGAATTTCAAGAAGCGAATGTAGGAAGGTCTCAAATGTGTAGATTACTTTCAGAACCATATGCCATATGTGTTCAATAAGCTGCAGAAAAAGTAGATTTAAAAGCTTGTAAGCTAAAAGCCTCTTCTATTGAAACAAAATTCTACACAACCTTCCTCAATCGTTCATATTATGCAAACGTTGCTAACCGACCTCATTGAATACAAAGTAATAGTTAGAAATAGATAGATTGTGAAAAAAAGCGTCAAACAAACGTCAAAATTTGGGGAAAAAAACACATCTAAAAGCCACAGCACAATGCACCAGAGACCCCAGAGCATCAGAATCATATTTGTGGTAACTATGAAACATATTTGTGGTTGTGTTCAGACCGAACTCGCCCGAGATAAAAGATGAGAAGAGTCAAAATAACACGGCAGAGTCAGTAAATAAGTCATTTTTTTACATATAGAGGAGATTAGAAGTGATGGTAAATTTCTCCATTGTGAGATCAACAAAGCTTATCACATATTTGCTTTTCCCAATCAAGATACCGACATGATTCAAAGTATTTTTTACATCTTCTTCTACTTTTAGCTCCTCGCGTCACACTATTACACAACCGTGCCCTGAAGAAAGCACTGCGCTGTCCCGGGCCTTGTGTGGATGGAACAGACATGAGCTGATGTCTTTTTAAGGGCCTGAAGAGCAGTGAATAATTGATCAGTACCATCCAGACTCCCTGATGTTCCTCAGTGTGAGTGTCTGCCCCCACTCACGTGGGATGTCCCATGATGCAGCACTTTTGCTTCAAATAAGGGAGTGAAATCTGTTTGTTGGTCTCATAAAATCTGCAGCTGTTCGGAGCCCTCTACATATTTGAAGAGTGCATTTGTTTGCATATTTTCATAGTGCTAAAAAGTAGTTTGTGCCGTTGCTTACCGTCAGAGAGGTGAACGTCATACACATCCCTCCAAACCCGTTCATGGCCAAAGCGAAGAAGATGAGCATGGACAAATCTGGAAGAAGAATACAGATTTATGAATGTAGTTGAAATATAGAAAAGTGCTACGCTGGATTGGATAGAGTGAAAGTAAGTCAGAAGCTCAACCAACCAGTGAGCTTTGTTTTTATTTATTTATTTTATTTATTTTATTTATTTTATTTATTTTATTTATTTTATTTATTTTATTTATTTTATTTATTTTATTTATTTTATTTATTGTATTTATTGTATTTATTGTATTTATTGTATTTATTGTATTTATTTTATTTATTATAATTTTTCAAATGCATTACATTTTTGTGCATATCTTTGTGACACTGGTGAAAAATGGACTCCAAAAAACCCACATGAGCTTTGATTCATTGTTGAAATGTCATTTTAAGTGACTTTTTTTTTCTTTTTTTAATATACAAAATACAATATACAAAACATATGTCAAATCCAGAAGCCACAGCTGCCCTTGGGCTGAGAAGTAGCTGCTAAACTGCTCCATTGATGTTTGAACTATATCACCACTTAATACACAATAGCTGTATATTTACACTTTCACTACTTACTGTTGGGATCACTGGCTCCGTACGCGATGAGGAGGCAGGAGAAGGCAAAGCAGGCGCTATGGACACAAACAAGAAACAGTCAGAAAACATATGAGTACCATAAGTGTACCACTATGGATTATACAATGAAATGTATTGGATGATATACTTAAAACTCTAAAAAACACTATATGTTTAATGTCTAGCTCTATAGCTCTTGTTTGATTCTCTGATCTGTGTTGGCAAATTTGGCAACTTTGTCCACTTATCTTATTAATACAGTCAAATAGAACAATGGGTATTGCCAGGCTACCTTTAATAACACGCTATTTGTAAATCCACAACTAAATCACTAATAAAATCATGATAAATACGTATAATAGTGTAAATATCTGTTTCTCACCTGCCGGCCAGCCTGAGTTTGCGGGGCCCGTACTTGTCCATGATGATGCCCATGGGGAGCGTGATGGCCGACAGCAGGAAAGAGCCGATGGTGAAGGCCAAGTTCAGCATCTCGTCCTGGTCTTTACAGATCTGCCATCCGTTCAGCTCCAGGTACTCCTCCTCCTCTTCCATAGACTCATGCGACGAGTTGGAGACATTCAAACTTGAGCCGTTTCCTGAACAAAACAAGTACAAACAATGAAGACAATGTAATATACTAGGTCGATATTAATGTATTTTTCATGACTGTTAATCTTGCATTGTTTGTTAAGGGCTCGCTTTTAGGGCTAGAGCTTTATTTTTAATGTAAATGGAGCTGGGGACGTGGATTTTCTTATCTTCTTCCTCTTCCTTTTGTTTACGCCAAAAGTTTCAAGGCCAAATGCCAGCGTTTCTGTCCTATAAAATAGACTAATTGCATTCAATGACTTGTACGTTATTGCTTAAGTATTGTCCTCATTCAAGCTACAAACAAGCCACTATGGGATGAATAAAGGATCTCTTATCTCTAACAACTTGAACATCTACAAATAGTAAATCACATATAGAAATACAACATAAGCAGTTGAAGTATGTTTAAACGTCACTATGCTAGCAGTTTGCAGTGTTGATTTGACACCTTCAGGTGTTATCAAACTCTCAGGCTACAGAAATAGCCTCAACTGTTTCTCTGAATTAGGATTTAGCACAGACTGAGACTAGTAAACAGTTTGAAAAGTTCATAAAAGTTTATTCTCAGCACGAATGACTCATCCCAAGCTTTTTTATTTCTTGTTATGAGATTGAAGGAGATAAATAATGCAAAAATAATCTGTATTGAGCAGCGCAAACAGACCTAGAGAAGTTTTTAGCTTAATCCCTACTAATATTGTGACCTTCTGGTACCAATCGGATCAAACATGTCCCCCTGCCCCTTCAGGTCAAATACTGCTTTTCAAAATCTGTACCAATTCACAGAAATTTACATCATGCATAAAAGAGGAGACTTATTTTTAGTGCATTTTTTTATATTTTTTATATTAGATTTAAATCTCAAATGTCTTACTCTGCCTGTCATGTTTATTCATATATTTTCTACTTGAAGAAATTATTTTACATATTAACACGAAATGCTAAAATAAGTACAATCACAGTGGAAAATTTAATCTATTGTACATGTTTTTATGGTTTAGGGGAAACCGGAGCACCCGGAGGAAACCAATGCAGACACAGGGAGAGCATGCAAACACTCAAAACGGCCCTATTCTGCCTGGCGTTTAAACCCAGGACCTTCACCGTAGCATTTTAACTGCGAAATCCAGCAAAAAAAATGCACTATACTAAAAATCCCCATTTAAGGATTTGTATTTTATCCTCAAGAGTGCCACGGATTTTGTTCTCCTTTCTTCATAGTGTTCTGCCACTGCTGACCCTGACGAGCACCCGACGAACTAGACCCACTGCAGCACTCATCTCTCTTGAACTAATGCATTATACTTGTTTTGTAAGACGTTGGACAAACTAAGTCAGACTAATATGTTTCATTATTAGACATTAACCTGTACGACAACAGAGTCACATTCCATCATAAACATACTTCACTGATGCCGTACCTATACACTGCTGCATTGAGCTGCATGAGGCTGATTAAGGCCATAAAGCAAAAGGAAGTTGAGTTCAGGAAGCTGTTATGTCATAATTAGGAAGCCTGCTGCACAGAGCTGACCCACTGGGAGATGGCAAGTGGGTGAAAGGTTTGTGATGTGGTTAAATAAGTCTAAACACGGCATTTGCTATTGTATTCGTAGGGGTAGCATTAAAAGATAATACATGGATAGCATCAAGAATTTATTTACCATTTGCAGTAAAACCACATTTGAAAAATTTGTGCAAGACTACCCCAGTGTGCACCAGATAGAACACACACACAAACAATGTGGGTATCTATAAAAACGGTTCATTTAAGTTTGCTTAGATTGTTGACTCCGACCTTCTCAATCCCCTCAGGACCAAACAATGAACCTTGAGGGACCGAGCCTTCGCCGCAGCTGCCCCCACTCTCTGGAACCCACTCCCACAGCCAATCACAAACTCCCACTCACTGCAGAACTTTAAATCACTTCTCAAAACCCACCTGTTTCACCTTCGCCTTAATAGTGTTCTTCAAGGTGTATTTTTGAGCGCCTTTGAGTGTCCAAAAAAGCGCTATATACGTTTGCTGTATTGCTCTGCCTTAAAATGGAATGGAATTCAAAATATTTAGCTATTTTTTTTCTATATCTTCTCATTTTTGCAGGTTTTTTTCACATAAATCCATTTAATTTCTTTGGATTATTTGGTCAAAGGAGGATTATTTGGAATAAAGGAGGATTTTCTACTTCCGGGTGGATCATCAAGACTATTGGTCCTCCCAATTGCCAATCATTCTGGTGCTACGTGCTTGACAAATAAGACCAGAAGGTTTTGTTCAAAAAGTGGAGAGGGCGGTTCCATATCTTCTCAATTGCAGTTTTCTCAGATAAATCCATCATTTCTGTTGATAATTTGCTAAACATGTTTTTGGATGCCAAAAACGGATTCATCGGCTAAACCCCCAAAGACAACAGCCCTAATGCTAACCAATCAAAAAATCCCACTCAGTACAGAATTTTAAAACACTTCTCAAAACCCACCTGTTTCACCTGGCCTTTCCTTCATTTTGTTCTTCAATGTTTATTTTGATATGTTTTGTAAAGCATCTTTGAGAGTCCGAAAAAGCACTCTGCCTGATACAATACAGCACTCTGCCTGATACAATACGGCGGCACGGTGGCTGAGTGGATAGCACTCTCGCCTCTCAGCAAGAAGGTCCTGGGTTCGAATCCTGGTCGGACCAGGGCCTTTCTGAGTGGAGTTTGCATATTCTCCCCGTGTCTGCGTAGGTTTCCTCCGGGTACTCCGGTTTCCCCTACCACTAAAGATATGTCCAATAGTTCTGGCATGTGCCTCCTGTACTGGCGACCCTGCTCCCATCTCTGTGTGGAGTGAGAGACAAATGCCCAAAAAAAAAAAAAAAAAAAAAAAAATATACAAGAAATTAACAATTGTAAACCGCTTTGAGACTCAGATCTGCAGTGAAAAGGCGGTATATAAATAAAGATTACTTACTAAAGATTACTAATACATACTGTATTATGTCTTTGGATAATTCAGTAAACTAATACGTATTTTTGGTCGACGAGGATGCCAGCAACTGATTAAACGGCTAAACACCCAAAGACTATTGCCCTAGTGAAATCTAAAGTAAGTATGAACAGCCAGTATGTGTTAAAAACTATACAATACTACAGCACTAGTGTCATTTGGGCTTTGTACGTGCTGACTGATGCACTGTCCCTTCTGCTGGATCTGCTGAGTCAATAAGCGAAGAGTCCTGACATTAAACTGGGACAAATTTTCCGTCTGAATTAGGTCAATGTCAGAAAAACGTGAGCAAATTGTTTGCCCTGTTTTTTATTTTACGACTTTTAAACCGTGGCTTCTCTTCTGTGTAATCCTGTTTGAACGTGCGGAAACTCAACCATCTGCGTAAGTGTGTGGCAGTTTGTAGAAGGAAGAAGGATGAAATGATATGATCACACAAAGCCATAACCTGGATCCGTCAATCACATCTTTATCCCATTATAGAATTATAATGACGTTATGCAATGATGTGTGAGATGGGAACAAAACCGTCTCGAATTTTACGTTCATAGTTTTGTCTAGTTTTGACTAAAGTTTTGAATTAGGCTTTGCAAACATATTTTCTTTAACCTAATTTACTTCAAGGAATATAGGAGGATTTTCCAAAATTTGAGGAAAGAACCGGCCTCTCCACTTTTTGAACAAAACTTTCTGATCTTGTTTGACAATCACCTATCACCAGAATGATTGACAATTAGGAGGACCAATAGTCTTGATGATCCACCCAGAAGTAGAAAAATCCTCCTCTAAACCTTTAATTAGTCACTTACTGCGTGTTTTATTTGAGGTTTTTTTTTTTGAGCAACATGACAAAAAATGTATTGAAAATGAAGTAATAACACAAACGCATATGCTAAGAGGTAAAACATGTCTTGAATTGAGAGTTTTTTTTCTTAATTTGAGTACATTGTGACTGGCTTAAAACAAGATTGGCCAACGGGACGAAGCCATTTAGTTTTAAAACAAGATCCTTTTGCTGGTCACATTGACAAATCTTGTGCTCAAATTAAGATACATTTTGCCAAATTTGAGCCATCTGTTTGCCGTCACTTTTTGCAGTGTAGATCAATGTGTCAGTTTCGACATTACAAGTCGTCTTCTATTATCCAAAGACAAACAAAACCTTTCCATACGTGGCCATGTTTTAGTGGCAGGGAAAACTAGAGGAAACCTACGCAAACACGGGAGAACATGCAAACTCCACACTTCTCACGTCTATGGGACATAAGTTACAAGAGTTGCTACTTGTGCAAATCCAAAGCCAAATGTGTGAGAAGGGATCAATTATAACTGTTGTTTGCGTTTCATAAAGTGGAAACACTGTCCTTTCAGAAGCTTCACGGTTGAACTCACAGCCGTTACACAAATTGTTTACATTTGGCCAAAAGGTGAAGTCTGTTTTGTTCAGACAGCAGCAGCAGCAGCAGCAGCAGCAGCAGCAGTGAACAGTGACTACAGCAGCAGCAGTAAATACCACTGAGCACTTCACACACGCCTGACACAGACGGCTCTCGTGGGAAGCTGCAGACACGTGCCATAAAGTATAACTGGGACACAGCAGGGGTCAGGCCATCTTTATTCACCTTTACCCTCTGAGCAATCCACCACACTGCAAAAAAATTTATCAAATATGAGCTTGAATCTAGAATGTTAATTTGAGCACATTCTGACTGTGTTAAAACAAGATTTGCTAACGGGACAAAGCCATTCAGTCTTATTTCAAGAACTGCTGCTTTATTTTGTCATTCCAACAGAGACATTTCTTGTATCTTGACCCCTTTGCCTCAAACATGTCCTTAAATTCTGATACACTTTGCCAAATTTGAGCAATTTTTACACTTATTTTTCATCACTTATTGCAGTGCATGCCGTTGTTCCTGCCCAAACACCCAGATGTGCTCTATAACAATGTATTCAACAACGCATCAATAAATAACAGGCATTGACAAAGCGAGAGAATAACTGTGTATGATTC